CTCCTAAATTACAACGTAAACAAGATGATATAAAATAGGTCGGAGCGACCTTTCGAACGCGCTCAAAACATTTTGTCTCGCGCCGATGTCTTCAAGGCCAACCGGAAATTTGGAAAAGGCGGTCCGTTCTCGAGAATTAGCACTGACCTAGGGAAGGCCCCGAGGTCGCCGATACACATTCCGAGTGCGTTTATATTAAGTTAACTGCTTCATAGCTGCCGATTGGACCGCCAGTCGGCCACTGCCAATATATAGGTGGACGCACGTACAGAGCCTAGACGCAGGGCATAGGCAATGCCAATTGCTGCATCCGCAATTTTGCCAACTGGCACGCTTATGTTATAGAGTTACTGCGACTCTACCTAAGTGACTCCTGCTTCCCCCTCCCCCCCTCTCCCCCCTCCCCACTCTTTCTCTTTCTCTCTCTGAGACATTGGATAAAGATGTTTTTCCACTGGCGATGTTCGAGTCAAGTTAGAGCAAAATTGGAACATGTCGGCTTGTACGGCATTTAGAAACGAGAAGATTTAATTCAAGAAATATTACTACAAAGAGAATAAATACGTCGATTCGCCTTGTAAATTAGAAGTAGAAATTTTCAGACTGAACAGATATTTGCGGAAAGAGACCTAGCGGTGGTTATTTACTAGCATGAGTTGTGCATTAATCGTGCCACTCACGCAGCTATTGAGCAACGATCGCAATGAGAGGTAGAAAAAAAGATATATATATATATATATATATATAGTCGCGCGAGTAATGCACCTGTGTGGCTCGTTATCGCGCGCGCGAAGCTGTTAGCATGAACGATTGTGCGCGGCAACCCTCGGTGATCCGTGACTAATGAGGATACCGTGATTATAAATCCCATCTACGTGGGGCTGCGTACGAGGAACGACAGATTGAGTTGCAATGCGTTACCTCATAATTACATTCCTCGAATTCATTTTGGCCCCCCCTCCCCCGTGTTTTTTTTTATTGCTCGTTACAAGTGTTAATACCGGCTGAATTAGTGAACGAAACGACCGTTTGATTATCGGGATAACAAGATCTTCGAAATGCATACGATCGTTTTTACATGTTTTGATATCTTGTTTTAATTAGTTTTAAAAAAGAGTCACATTAATCTGTTTAAAATACGTCTTGAAATATTTGGAATCGTGCGTTGAATGAATTTAGAATTTAGGCAATTACAATTTTACAGCGAGACATGTTTTAAATTTAATTTGTTTTTAGTGCGAATATAAGAATAATTCAAGTAAAATATCATCGATGTTCATAATTCTGCTGAGAAAACACTGCGTGTGCTTTGAGAAAATTTAAAGTATGTGATGTAACGTACTGACGTTTTAATGACGTGTGACATGCAATCTGACCCTAATTACTGGCATTTCATAATGCACTATCGCAAAAACGTGGCCACGATTGAGCTATTCTCTAGACGTACTCATCGAGACAATCAGACTCGTACATAGTCTTCAAGAACGGATTTTTAATCGCGCGATTAGTATCAAGGAAGCATGACAAACAGTTATAACGTTGAAGCAATCAATTGCAGATTGTTACAAATTTTTAAATAATTACATTTTTTAAACGATAGAAATTGAAGAGATAAGAACTTGGCTTGACTTACTTAAACATATTTTATTAGTTTTTCATTTTATTGCATTGCAAAGATTTTCAAAAATGTTTTATTACAGCGTCCATTGATACGAAAAAAAAAAATGGACAGTTGCAATATTTTCTAATGACTTGAACGATCTTTGACGCGCACAGCACGGCCGTAATCGTCGATTCTAATGGCCACGTGTATGTCGGCAACAGTAATCGCGCTGGGCGTTTAGCTCGGCTCGATTCACTTCTCTCTCTTTCTCTCCGTCTATGTCGAGCCTCTCCTAAGAATCTTTTTCTGGGTCAGAAAATAATCGCTGAGTTTACGACTGAGTCATTGCAGTACGTGTGAATGAAGACAGGACTCTTGCATAAATCGCACTCACCTGTATTGCACGAGAGATTTCAATCGAGGTCGTTTTAAGACAGCACTTAGTAAGCGCTTCGTTTTCTAGAGTTCGCATTTCGTTATTTATTAATGCAGGTAACATAGAAAAATATTGTCAATCCATAGTCGTTAATCACGCAGCGTATCAGGAAACGATGCGTCACTTTTTTTTCAAGGAACTAATACGTGATCATACATGATGCGATAAGTGTGAATAGTACGCTGTATTCATGACGTTACTGGAATACCCAGTGCGAGAAATTTCAGCAGCGGCACACGATCTGTAATTTTTATCTTGTTTCTGTACTTGTAATCTTTTTGTCAACTTTAACAGCAACTTTTTCTGAAAAATTATTCCACATTTCTCCCTGCTGTATTTCGTGTTCATTTACTTCGATTATATAATTAATGAAGGATAGAAAGACGATTTTACGGTGTATAGATATGCATATCGACTTTTGGATCTTCTTTGAGTACGGGAAGTTATAAGTCCGGTGGCGTCGGTCGTTTTTGTGTTTGCGTTGCACGCTCATTAACATATGTATTAGCGTTTTTCTTTGTTATAGTGTAACGCCCACTTCCTGCTTGTGTAACTTAGAATCCCTATTTTCTCGAGGACATTTCTTGATAACGCTCGGTGTTATCGGCTGCAACGGAGTCGTTATTGCTGCTGAGTGAAAGATCTGTTCGATCAAAGTCCTTGTTCACTGGACAAACGCACCGAGTGGACGTCGAGTCCTCTGCGTCCGATCGTTGTTCTTGGCACATTTCCTAATGTCATTCGTCGATTATCTAAATGCCTTCCTGAAACATTAACTTTACGTTTATCTTAACAGATAAAAACCTGATCCATTTCCGATTATTGTCATCTTTGCGCTAATCGATTTTCTTGAGATAACGTATATTTCTTCGAAAGAACGTATTCGAGTTTAATTTTTGATAAATCGTGTTCATTCTAAACGATTTATCACGATTTCAGAAATACATTGAATGTAATCGATATTGATTAAAAGTCACGTGTGAATAATCGCTGCAACATGAGATGCAATGGTGACGTCATTGAACGATAATTTAGAATTACGATTTATTGTCATCAGAATGGAAATTCAGAATTATTTTATAATTAATTAATTTATTTAAAAATATTCGCGGTTTTTGTATGTAAAGATATTAAAATTATTCAAATTCAAATTTTAATTATCAAAATTACTTGATACCTTTTTCATGAATTTTTACGTTTGTATATCGATAAAGTATATGCTACGATAAATTAATCAGAAAATAATTTACATTTGATATAAAATTATACAAGATTGTTTACAAAAAATTTAATATAACATACAACGCATTTAAATTTAATATAGCTTGCAATGCTTTGCATTTGATTATCTAGACATTAATTAAAGTTGACTGGGCTTTAAATGTTAGTGAAAGGAAAGGAAAAGAACAAGAGGATGTTAATTGTAGTTGATATTTACGCAATTTTCTTTGTTATATATTCATTAAAATAGTCGATAGATGATAATGTTTGCTACATCTTTGTTGTTTATCTCACAATCAGATTGAGATTTTTTTGATTGCTCTTGAATATGATATAAGAAGTAGTTAGCAATGAACAGTCAGTTAAATTCTCATGGACTTTATAGTAATTGTGATCGATCATATTCAAGATCGCAACAATGTGCGTTTCCGTCAAGGTTTTAGGTTTTTTAAGAATACATGAAAGATTAAAGAAAACTCTCAACTCATTTGGAAGATAAATACTATAATTTATAATTCTAATTAGAATGTATGAGCTCGGTACATTATATACAATAATATGATATTTAATGACGGATAAACGTGATGCGGATCAATTAACGCTGTTAATATTTATCATCCTGTGTGTTGCAACATGTACCGCGATTAACGACATACTAACTCTGGTGGTAGTAACTTGAATCTGTAAAGAGATCAGATCAGATCTAAAACCGCAGTGTTTATGATTCTTTTTATCAAATCGATATATCAATTAAATTCTTGCAAATGTATACTTTACTATTTTTTCTATCTTCCTGATTTGGACGACAAGATAAATAGAATTGCGTGCATAAAATTGCACTGATTATAAATGTGTTATTTTATATCTCGCAAAGAATTCAATTATCACGTATCTGTGTGAAGATATCAAAATTACTCGATATTTTCTTCGTGAATATTTACATTTGTATATCGATATATATATGCTACGATAAATTAATAAAAAAATAATTTACATTTGATATAAAATTATAGAGATTGTTTACAGTTTAATATAATAATACAACGCATTTAAATTTAATATAGCTTGCAATGCTTTGCATTTGATTGCCTAGACATTAGTCAAAGTTAGCTGGGCTTTAAATGTCTCTTGGTGAAAGCAAAGGAAAAAGACAAGAGGATGAGTTAATTGTAGTTGATATTTACGCAATTTTCTTCGCACATCTCGTTAACCGTCAAATAAAATTACCCGGAAGAAAACTACTTCTTCGTCTCATCTTAGCGTCGACTATCGGCTAGAGTTAAGCATTTCTTGCAGTCTCGTACTGCAACTTAGCAGCTATCAAAAGTCCCGTAGATGTCATATGTGCGTCTATCGTATTTCACAAACATCCACTGAACTTTTGCTTGGATGTCGGTGTGGCGGATGATGTTTATCGATGCTGAAGACGCCGGTCGTAAGCATCAACTACTCAAGCCACCTGGCACTACTACACGTCAACGTGATACGCGCGTACCCACACTCGTCCTGGCGATTCAGTCGCGAGAGACACTGTCTCGTCGATTTCGCTGCACCGCGCCGGTTCGCCAAGAAGAGAGCGAGACCGGCCGGCGTGGCTCGGCGTGGCGTGGCTTGGCGTGGTCGCTCCTACCATTTCGCCTCGCGCTATCAGGCGTGTGCACCAGGAGCCGCGGTAGTGGAGGGGCCGTTGTCGCGTCGCCGGCATCAGGAGAAACGGCGCGGAGTGTGGAGTTGGTAAGCCTGACCCTCGCGAGGCGAGAGAGCGGAGTCGCGGTCTGTCAGAGTCCACAGTCCTAACTCGGCCTCAGGCTGCGATAGATCGTATCTTTCGCGGCTTCGATCCCGCCGCGGAGCAGTCGCCCAATTCGCCGCCCGATTCGAGTCTCGCGCGAGTAATCGCAATCGCGAGCGCGCGCGCGCGCCCGGCGCAATTGAACTTGCTTTTCTCCCGCCGGTCGGACCCTGCGATCTGACCTCGGCCGCGAGTGATCGAACGACCCGCGAGTAGTACGAGCGTGGAAAAATCTACCGCCGGTGACCAGCAGCCCTTGCATTTCGCTCCGCCGCGGAAACTCTTCTGCTTTCTCCTTGCTTGCTCTTCCGACCGCTCGCCGATTGCCGAACGCGAGGAAGTGGACGCGAGGGCGGATTACCGCGATTGCGTTCGTGGGAGAACGGGATACTGGGATACTGTTACTGGTAAGATTTTCCTTTTTTTTTCGCGCTTTCTTGAGAAGGAAAGAAGGAAAGAGAGACGAGAAGAGAGAGAACACGTGTAGGAGGTGTCGGTGGGAGTACCGGCAGAGACTGTGCAGATTACGCTTTTGCGCTCCGTGACTTTATTCTTTTTTTAAAGATTTGGTATGTGCGCGCCAGGATGTGCGCGTGTGTAGGTATGTGCGAACCCCTTATGCGTGAGCAAGTCAATGAATTACTTTTATGACGCAAGATCGTACGTGACAAAGTCGTGGGAATTTAAGAGCTATAAGAATCGGCATACACCGTTATTGCGCTTCTTATCATTATGCACATGAGGTATTTTGCAAAGGTTTTTTTTTAATCTCATAGGAGACTATGGTTCGAATGTGGCGTGCTCCTTTTTGCAGAATTTTAAATTAACACGTAACATTTCCTCGAATTTTAAATTAACACATAATATTTTTCCAGTTTTTTAATATTGAATTCTGAAATATTTGGCGAAATAATGTCAAAAATATGCAAATAATAAGATACTTTTAAAGTGGAGTTTATGTTTATAGTATGTTTGTATAAACTTTAATTAATGATAAGATAATTAAAATTAGAAATTGTAATCCAATTAAATATTTTATAGAAATCTTATTTTTTATTATTTAAACATATTATATTAAATTATATAATCTATATATATATAATTATATATAATTTTACATTATTATTATTCACATTTACATTAAAAAATATTAAAATATTTAATAATATAACATAACTTACTCAATAGTATTTATCTGTTCTTATTTAACATGGCAAATAGTTTTCTACTTTTGCTGCAATAAGATAGCGCTTTATTCGTATCGTTCTGTGAACTTTTCCGTAAACCCATATTTCCGGTCTTAATGACCGCTGCGCGTTTTTCTAAAATTAGAACAAAATGAAAGTGAAATAACACAACCTCGTGGTAGGATCGTGTCAGAATGGTGATTGTCTTTGTTTCAGATCGAAGTGGATGTTCATAAAATTTCCGGAGATTATTATAATCACACCCTACCTTCTGCGAAATCCAATAATAAAACTCTTTTTCTGCAAGTAACGTTATTTTTAATAGATCTTTGTGTGCTTTATAAATGGCCAATGCTATAGTCATCAAATGGTCAATCAATTCAAAAAGTTCAAGTAATCAATCACTATTCGAAGTCATTAAATCGGTCCAGAAAGAAAATTTATCTTTCTCTGCTTTAATGATTTCATATTCGTTGATTGATTCACCTTTATTTGATCGATTCATTTACAATTCCATTCATTTATATTCTGCTTTTACCTTTTGATTCGTTACTATCGATTGTTACATAATAAATAATATCACTAGACTGACATAACTAACGAGCATTTAATAATTAATGAACATTATTGCTTAATGGTTTATGTATTATGAGCTATGTATATAATTTTATTCGTGATGTGTCTTACAGAAGACGCGGTTCAATAAAAAATTTTTAACAAAGTTATGTAAGAAATTAAAAAGATTGAGGTATAAAATATTATATAAGGGGTTAAAAAATATTTTAAAAATTTATCATATTATAATTTATATAAATAATATGAATAATTTATGAATAATTGATTCATAAATAACGATTTATTATTTTATTTTTACAATCAGTATGTATTAAGAAGATTGAAGAAGTTGATTCGCACTTGTTTGTAATCTTCTGTCGCATATCTATCATACAGTCAAAATACCTCGTGCTTATCAGAGCGTGATTTAGGATGATTTAAAACATGTATGCATATGTCTTATTTGATTATCACGATCCGTCACGTTTTCGTATCGGGCGCCAGGTATACATAATTTTTCAGCGAATAAATGATTTCGGAAGTGCAGTCTCTAGCACGGCACGTTTTACAAATCATTGCTCTTGTTCACTTTGTTTTTTTTCTGGATCTTATTAGTTTGTGACACGTGGCTTAGATAAGACACGAATGAGAAATTTTATTCTTTGTAATTGAAAGATTGATGATTAACATACCGTTAGCGATGTGAATTGATACATTATCACATCTAATTGTTTCATCAATTTTGAAATTGTACATAACACTTGTTTTGACAATTGAACGAGCTTTCAGTTATCTTCAATAAATTTTCCTGTTTTCATTAATATTAGATAATCTGATAATGTTTTAATAAAATTTTTGTACAAAAATTTTTTTCCTCCAAGACTAAGGCTAGGAAAGAAACTACACATTTGGAGCGTGAAGTTCAGTTAACTTTAAATCCGAATTAATAGTGAAGTAACGATTAAACCGCTCATAAATCGTCGCGGCGGCAGCTCCAAAATATTTCGCGTCATGCGGGGAAAGTCGCACGAAAATTCTCAGACTCTAATCGCGTGAATCTCCCAGTCTCGCTCTTAAGTGCGAGTGGCAGCTTTCCATGGAAATCTGTGGTATCTTTACGACGCACGTACGCGCGCACGCAAGTATGCGAGGATCAGTCCGGCTGAGTGCGCCCGCTCTCTGAAGATTAAGTACACGTGAATACCTGCGTAGTCTCTCAGGTACTCCGTGGCCGCGTCGGGCAATGCCATTACATAACAACGTTAATCAGAAGTGGCGGTTAAGCCACGAGCGGCGTAAATCCAGCCGTGGAAGTCGGATCATCGACGCTCGAGAAAATTAAAAGCCTGAAACTAAATCTCTGGCGGCCTTGACGATGCAATACTCGCGCGTCCGGCGACGCAATGACAAGTTAGAGCTGTCCGGCGACGTGTCGCAAGATTGACAATCGGCTCGCGTTGAACAATTCAATTGGTTGAAATCCTCCCGGTTGCGGTTTTGAATACGCGGTTTCGATCCATCACGGGACATGATGAAATCAAATTTTAAAGCAATCTTGTGATTTCCCGAGTACATGACGCAAATACGCCGCGCGCACACGTGTCGCTTTTAAGAGGCAACTGCACGTTCCTCTCGTTTACGCATCTTCTCTGTCTCGTTTTCACTTACCGGTCGCGGTACTCTGCCAGGCATTGAAAACACGGGCAATCATGACATATTAAATTTTCCCCTCGGCTTCGTCGCGATCGGACTGTGTGTGCGTGCAAATGACAAATAGAAAACATGCTATCTATATCCGCTCGCGGTCACGATGCTACTTCAGCATACTTTATCAATAAGTTATTGGAAAATTTAATGAGCATCAAACTAGATACTTGAAATCGGTTCACGCATTTCCAGTCAATTTCAGAAGTAATAAATGTACCTAAACGTATTATTTTTGGACAAGTGAGTTGTTATTCGTCTGATTACTCGTTATCCGAGAAGTAACAGTTAAAAAATACACAGTTTAATCATTTTCGTGACTAATATCTGTAAATAAAAGATAGTCGTTAGCAAACATATTTCCAATCTTAACTTTCAACTAAATGGAAACAAATGCTCTAATTGTAAGCAATACTCATTCCTTTCTTAGCTTGAAAAAAAGTATTTCAAAAATTAAGAGCAAAAAAAAACAAAAAAAAAAATAGATTTAATATAAATATTTTTTGCGTTGAACTTTTATATTTATTTTATAAAATTTTAAAAATGATAAGAATCCTAAATATCTTCATGTTCTCAATGGTATTTAGATAAACTTGCTTTGCGTTTTATTTCAATTATTGCACCTACAATGTGCGTATGTAAAAATGCATATCTCTTATTTTGTACCTGTTCTACTATAACATATCGAAATCGGATAGTCGCGAACGTTTCCTCGTTGAGGCCGCCACGGATTATTTGTTCCACGCATCTATTCGTTGTATCTACAACACAGCTCGGGCAGTCGCCGATGCAACGTTCGGCACGTCTATATCGTCACGATAACGAGTTCTCAGGTGTTTACGACCACGCGACGTCATCGAACCCACCTTTACCTTTTCAGTCGTCGCGCCACGACCGTATGCATCCGTATGCACGCGCGGCGTTACGGTACGCCACGTTGTATCTTCACTTCGACGTTACGCCTCGCAGCAACATCGGGAATGTGGAAACTGGTGAGCTGTTTCCACGACTCGACGTGCTGGTCAGGTATATCTATATGGAGATAACGACGTTTTAGCACATGTACATTGTGCAAATTCTCTCTCTACATGTAATTTATGCAAACGATGTAATGATAGCCTGAAGTCAAAAATATTCACGTACCAAACGTGACGTTTAAGGACTATATTTGTTTAGAATAAAGTCCGCATTTGAGAGAAAGATAATAATTTATAATAATTTTATTAATATTACGACACTGGAACTTATATTGAAACTATTTTATCAATTGTGTCAACGCTAAAACGTTATTTATTTCCCCCTATTTTCCCCTTTCTTATTTAAATTACGTTTCGAGATACGAAACAATTGATGTCTTCTACACGTTCATTACTTATGAATCAACATAAGAAAACTTTATATTAATGTTATCTAGACAATGTTTAAAGAAGATACATAAATTTTATAGCACTTATAAATGATAGACTCTAGCAAAAACATATGTAGCTTTTTCCGGGATCGTGTATGGTAACAACGTCGTCAGAATAGCTCCAAGGATGTTTTTGTTATAAGGTCGAGGTTTTAAACTTTTAACTCGTGGCATTATGTTTTACTTCGATAAAAAAACATTGTTTTTATAATCAAATCTGACGTAATCGAGTTGTAAAGATGCTATTTCTACATTTTTTATCATAATGTATACATTATTATTCCGACGATACCATTATTCTGTAGCGCAACCATTTATGTTCATACAGTTTCTAGGAGAGAAACTTATTTACACTGGAAGATATAATATATCATTTCATAAAAAGCTGAATCGGAAAAAAATGCGTTCGTATGCAACGTTGAATAAATCGAGTGTTGAAATTGATTTAAAAGACTTAATAACGCGAATTTATGTAGCTTATTTTTAAATCATCGGCATGATGATGATTCTTATTGATTCTTCTTATTGACCACACTTTTTTTCAGCCAGAGGT